CCCCCCCACACACACACACACACATCCTCCAAGCCCAGTGAAACTTACCTGCCTTCGGCTCCGATACTGGCTGGGATTGCATGGGTATCTGTGTGCCCTCCCCTTCCCACCTCCTCTCCTGCAAAAGGCTGTGGCTGGGCTGGGGCGGGTGCGCAGCATTAAAAAGTTACTGCGGGCATGATTTTTTTCTTGTGCGTGTCCATATACATGTGCAGCTTAGAGGGAACCTTGGTTAGACTGGTAGCAAAGTTGGTGGTACTGTTCTAAATTTAGTTCACTAACCATGCCTAACTGAAATGCCACTTGGAATAGGTTGTTTAGATCATACGATGATTGTCTTTTTTACTTTATGAGCAGCAAAAGTTGCATTTAAATTGTCAGGATTTTACTTCAGAATTAACACCTCACTGGGTGCATCTACAAGAGATGCTAACTGCACAGGAGCCTAATAACCCTGCGCAGTTGCATGTCACAGCACGGACAGTGCAAATACACCACTGCACAGTATTACTAGGCTACTGAGCAGTAGTGTCACTAAAAAGGTATTCACCAGTGCTGCTGCGCAGTAACTCTGGTTACTGCACATTAATGAACATGTAGACATACCTGCTGACTTGAATGGGGAGGATTGTAGCTCTTAAAGTTTCCAATCCAGCAAAGCACATAACCTTGTATATAATGTTAAGTATGCAAGTAGTTCTGTTGACTTGAATGGGGCTACTCAAGAGCTTAAAGTTGAAACACATACTTAAGTGTTTTGCTGGATAGGAGCCCTGGAATTTATATTTTCAGGTAGTCTGCAGACTCATGCAGATATTATTCCATTTGTTACACTGAGTTCATGTTTTGAAGGCTTTTTCTGCAATAAAATATGATGGAGGTTTTTTTTAACTAGATTATAAATTATAAAATGCAGCCATTAGGAGAAAGTACTGGTATGCTGAACTGCTATGAGTTAGCTCATTTCTATCCTCTTGGGTTTCAATGGTAAAAAGCAGCTTAACCTGCCAAAAGCCTGTAATACCAATACTGAGCCCTTTGTTTTTACTGTGAGGTTCTTCAGCTAGCCATCTAAGAAATTCATGATTTTCTTGTCATAGTCTGTTGGAACAGTGTTCAGTATGATGCAAAAAACCCAAAATCAATGAAGTACATGAATTTTGTAGCACAGCTATGAACTTTAAGGCCATGTCCACATGAGCATGGACGTTTGTTTCCCCAGCTGCAAGAAGCAGTGGCACACCTTGTGTGGCTGCTGGTTGTCCCCAGGAACACCTATGCCATATGCCCTCTGGCACACAGCAGATTACCCCAGGTGAGGTAGGGGAGGCTGGGGCCAGCACTGGGCTGGCCCCAGCAGCCTTACCTGGGGTCCTGGGGGCCTCCCGGGGCTGCAACAGTGGCAATTCTGCCACTTGGAGCCTGGCTGACAGCTCAATTGTGGCTCTGGCCAGCCAGGCACCGGTTTTGAGCAGCGTGCATGCTGTCCCCACGTGTGCCAACCCGCTGCTTTTTTACACGGGTTTTTTTGACCCTGGGATCAAACCTCTTCCCTACCTCTCCATGCTGCTACCTTGCAGCACAGAGAACACCTGAATGTGTAGTATGTGGCACCACGGAATTGTCTGTGGCACCACATACCGTCTGGCCGTGCTTGTCTAAGTGTCTGTCCAAGGACTTCAAAGCCTTGCTAAGGATAAAGTCCCCAAATAACATTTTGAGGCAGCTGGAAACTATTCCCCCCTTACAGGAATAATTTACATGTGCCAGTGTGCATATATGTTGGATAAATGAATTACCACAGTGGTAGGACTGGAAACGAGACTTGGGTTGTGACCCCCAAATCCTGGTTCTGCTGTGTTCAAAATACATAGTAATAGACCCTCACAGCCTCATTCAAGCTGGGTTTCATGGTAGGCACTGTACAAGCAGATGGAAAGTGAGAGTATTGACAGTCTAAATCACAAGACACAATAATGAAATGAGACAAAAAGTGGATCAGAGCAAGAACAGAAGAGTAAGAAAAGTAATGAGATGATGTCCGCAGTTTTAGTCAAGAAAGATCCTCAGTTTACCATTTGCCTAGTGGCTACATGGGTATTATTTAAGTATATGGACAAGGGATTTTGACTATAGACATTCCCCCCACCTATGTATACTTAGACAACATAGGTGATGTGTATTTTTGTGGACTTCAGTCTTATTCTAGCTCAATATATTCTTTGAAAAATGGTGTAATAAAAATA